GTTTAGGGTTTAGGATTTAGGGGCTTCAGGGTTTAGGGTTTAGGGTTTAGGGTTTAGGGTTTAGGGTTTAGGGTTTAGGGTTTAGGGTTTAGGGGTGGTTTTAGAGTGCAGAGGCTTTAGGGTTTAGGGCTTGGGGCTTTACGGATTAATGGTTTAGGGTTTTGGGGGTTTAGGGGCTTTAGGGTTTTAGGGCTTATGGGTTTAGGGTTTAGGGGCTTGGGGGTTTAGGCTTTAGGGCTCTGGGGTTTAGGGTTTTAGGGTTTTGGGGTTTCGGGTGTTAGGGCTTTAGGGTTTAGGGCCTACGGGCTTTAAAGGTTTAAGGCTTGGAGGGTTTTCGGGTGGCTTAAGGGCGCAAGGGCTTACTTAGTGTGTAGGGTTTGAGGTCCAGGGCTTCTGGGGGTTTAAGGACTCAGGGGCTTGAGGGGTTTGGGCCTGTGGGTTTAGGGAGTGCCACAGTCGGAGACAGCGCAGCAACGCGCTGAGGGCTGAGAGTGGAGGGTTCAGGGGTTTAGCAATTTAGGACTAGGGTTCGAGTTTTTTGGGGTGCAGGGTTTTGGGGTCAGGATCACGCAACTACCAGCGTCTTTACGGTGTGGGGGGTTGTTTACGTCGCATCAGCACGGCAAAAGGTGCAGCTGCATGTACTTCACCTCAAATCGCTTAAGCCACGAGCGCCACCCACCCGCCCCCTCTGTGAAGCACCCGTACACGGACCCCCACCCCGCGTCTTGTGAAAGTTTCGCCGCAGGCACTGGCCTAATCAGGCTTCACAGTTGGCATGTGACCGGAACCCCAAACCCATTTCAGGGTTTAGGGTTTGGGTCCTAAAGTATGAGGAGAGTGTGTTGTTGGGCTTGTTGTGAATTCCTGAACTTGGAGGATCAGACCCCCACGCTCAGCTCCAGACTAAACCGAAAACTCATGCCCTAAGACGTGTTAGGGCTCTAGGGTTTAGGGTTTTGGGTGCTAAAGCAACGTCGCTGTAAACCACCCAAAGCCCACAGCCTTAAACCCCCGAAACCCTAAACCCTCAGCCTGAACCCTAAGCCCTAAAATTCTAAACCGTCCTAAACCCTAAACCCTAAACCCTAAACCCTAAACCCTAAACCCTAAACCCTAAACCCTAAACCCTAAACCCTAAGCCCGAACAATCATGGCCCGCACCGGCTCCGTGCGCGATGCCGATGCTGGACCTCTTCGATGCCCGGCAAGCGCGGAAGGCCCATGGCCGGAAGGAAGGGCTTAGGGGTTTAGGGGTTTAGGGGTTTAGGGGTTTAGGGGTTTAGGGGTTTAGGGGTTAGGGTTTAGGGTTCAGGGTTTAGGGTTTAGGGTTTAGGATTTAGGGCCTTGAACCGTAATCCTACGCCCTAAATTTAGAGTTTATAGTTTAGGGGTTAGTCCTTGGCGAGGTCAGGAGTTTTGGGGTTCAGAACTGGCTTTCCTTTGCACCTTCCCCAATCACAAATTCTGTTTTGGGCTTCGGGAAGATGGGAACCCTTCCAGAGCTTGATTCTTGCTAAGGTAGTCGGTGTCGAGCTTCAGTTCGGAACCCGAAAATATAAGGGTTCAGGGCTTTAACCCCTTAACCCCCTAACCCTATAAGGTTTAGGGCCCGAACCCCTTAACCCAAAACCCATGCTAGCACCACACAGCTCAATCTTTAGTGCCAGGGTTTGGGCAGTTAGACTTTCAGTTTGCTTAACCCCAAACCCCAAAACCCCAAAACCCCAAAACCCCAAACCCCGAAACCCCGAAACCCCAAACCCCAAACCCGAAAACCCCAAACCCTAAACCCCGAACCTTAAACTCCAAACCCCAAACCCTAAACCCCAAATCCGAAACCCCCAAACCCTAAACCCGAAAACCCCAAACCCCAAACCTTAAACCCCAAACCTTAAACTCAAACCCCAAACCCTAAACCCCAAATCCGAAACCCCCAAACCCTAAACCCTAAACCCCAAACCTTAAACCCTAAACCCCAAACCTTAAACCCCAAACCCTAAACCCTAAACCCTAAATCCTAAACCCTAAACCCTGGTCTCCCTTGTGGAGGCCTGCCGGTTTCTCGTCAAAGCGCTGCCCGGATGGACCCGCCGCCAGAGCGTGCTGCAGCTCCCCCAAGATCTGCGGGGGGCGGAAGGGGGGTTAGGGTTCAGGGTTTAGGGTTTAGGGTTTAGGGTATAGGGTTTAGGGTTTAGGGTTTAGGGTTTAGGGTTTAGGGTTTAGGGTTTAGGGTTTAGGGGTCAGGTTTGGGGGAAGGGGAGTGCGGGGAAGGGTACTCGCAGTTGTAAGCAGGGCTACCCATTGCTCCTATTTGCTCAGCACCCTCCCAAAAAAAATACAAGTTGTTCTTCCCTACAACGTAAATATAGGGATTATTACATTCTATTCTTTTGGGGGGGATCTTACGCAAGTAGTAGATGAATTTAGGCATAGCTGCCCTGCTTGTAGCCTTACGCCGAGGGCTGCCGGGGCTTGGCGGTTTTGGGTTTGGGTCTTCGAGGTTTAGTGCTTCGGCTTTAGGGCAGGGAAGTAGATGTGCAGTAGGTTCCCTTCGAAGCCCCCTTAAACCACGAAGGGCACCCTTTGCATTCCTAGGCTATTATTCCTAAACCCTAAACCCTAAACCCTAAACCCTAAACCCCAAACCCCAAACCCTAAACCCTTGTTATTCCCAGGCCACTCTCGGGTCTAATAGGTGTTGCGGAATTTTCGCGTGCGAGGCTTCTCTGTGCCAGCCTCGCCGGCATCGCTTTCGGCCTTTATCTGCTCCTTGGGAAAGCGCCAGCACCACTTTAGGGTGTAGGGTTTAGGGTTCAGGGTTTAGGTTTAGGGTTCAGGGTTAGGCTCGCCAGCACCAACTTTACGGAGTAACCCTAAACCGCTAGACCCTGAAGCGGTTTAGGGATCAGATGACCAACTTTATTGAGGAACCCTAAACTAGACCCTCAAGCGGCTTAGGGTTCAGATGATACATGTTTAAGGACTTTTGAGGACGTCAGGGCGTTTAGAGTTAAGAGTTTACAGTTTTGGTTGATGTTCTTTAGTGACCCTTTCGCCCTAGACCCTTAGCCCCTCAACCCTAATCCCCAAACCCCAAACCCAAATTAAATCAGGGGGAAGCCCGCAATCCCTCCATCAAGGGCCTTTGGCACTCCGGCCACGCCAGCCGCCGCGCAGGATCTTGCAAGGGGCGGGGTGGGCCCTTCTTCTCCTTCTTTTAAGGGCTTTGGTCCCTTGAAAAGCCCCTGTTAACCAAAAAGGGTACTGTAAACCCTAAACCCTAAACCCTAAACCCTAAACCCTAAACCCTAAACCCTAAACCCTAAACCCTAAACCCTAAACCCTAAACCCTCCTTATGCATAGCTTACTCTTGGGTTCCGTCTCAGCACCGTGCTCCTCAGCTTGCAAGGACAACGTCCCTTCCATGGCCAAAGAATATCCATGACCCCCTAAACCTCTAAGCTCGAAACCCGAAGCCTTAAAACCCCATGCCGGAAAGCCCTCTGTTGACCCCATTTTGTTTCTCTAGACCCGAAACCCTAAACCCTCCACCCTAAACCCTAGACATTTGGGAGTTTCGGAAATAAGAGGTTCCTTGGGGGCAGGGGGGGGGGGGGGAGAGGGCTCCCTTAAGGAGGAATCTGATTTACTTGCTGTTGACAGGGGGGACCCTACTGCTTGGGGTCTAAAGGGGGTTCAGGGTTTTAGGATTAGGGTTTAAGATTTATAGAGCTTAGGGTTTGGAGGGCCCTAGGGTTTAGGGTTTAGGTTTTATGGTTTAAAGGGTTTAGGGCTTAGGGCTTAGGGTTTAGGGTTTAGGGTTTAGGGTTTAGGGTTTAGGGTTTAGGGTTTAGGGTTTAGGGTTTAGGGCTAAGGCTTGAAACGAAACCCATTTGAAGGAGCACCGCTGCCGTGCAGAGCTGTGGAGCTGTGCTGCTGCAGAGGCGGCGGGGACTTGGAAGGTCTCAGATGCCCCAAAAACCTTAAACCCCTAAACCCTAAGCCCTAAACCCTAAAACCCAAAACCCTAAGCCCTAAACCCTAAACCCTAAACCCTAAACCCTAAGGTTGATTTAGGGACGCTTGAAGCGATATCAGGGCGTTCCCTCGCAGCTTTTGGGGCCTTGAGGCCTCAACACAAGAAGGTCAAGGGGTGTAGGGTTTAGGATTTCGGGTTTAGGGTTTAGGGTTCAGGGTTTAGGGTTAGGGTCTAGGGTCTAAGGTCTAGGGTCTAGGGTTTAGGGTTTAGGGTTTGGGTGCAGGCCTCTTACATTACATACCTAGCCACTCGTTGAACTTCAGTAGTGGAGGGCCCCTTATAGGGGACCTTAGGAGTTTTAACATAGGGGTTATTGGGGGGCTACTTCGGTATATAGGGACCACATAAGGTGTGCCTAGAGGTTATATAGGGGAATAACCCTAAACCCTAAACCCTAAACCCCAAACCCTAAACCCTAAACCCTAAACCCCAAACCTCTTCAGGGGGTTTATTGGGAGCCTCGGGAACTGAAAGAGGCTCCCGGATCTTCCAACAGAAGCGGAGGCTTTCAGGTGAGCTCTGCTCGGGTTTAGGGTTTAGGGTTTGGGGTTTAGGGTATGGGGTTTAGGGTTTGGGGTTTTAAGGTCTTTCGCACTTTCCGCCAGTCTCTCCGCATCATGAATTCCTGCTCTCAGTCACTGTAGTTCCCGTACTGACGAGTTGACGGGAACCTGCCCAAACACATCCTGATTGAGTGGACACCACCTAAACCCTAACCCTAAACCCTAGAAAATCTCGCAGACAGTTGGATTTCTCGGGGCGGGATCTTTGCATGCTACCCTCGTCTTTCAGACTTGTCTAGGCCTACACCCCGTCCGAAACCCCTACATAATCGCCCTAAACCGAAAAACCCTAAACCCCAAACCCGAAAAACCCTAAACCCTAAGCCCTAAACCCTAAACCCTAAACCCTAAACCCTAAACCCTAAACCTTCTCAACCCTCAAAGCACCCCCCCAATGTCGATGGAGCACGTTGCGTCCGTGTGGCTGCCGCGCAGCCTCCACCTGCTTAGCGGCCCGGCGGCTCTCAGTGCCCTGCGCAGCTGCAGGAGCTTGAAGAACCTTGGGTTTAGGGTTTAGGGTTTAGGGTTTAGGGTTTAGGGTTTCGGGTTTAGGGTTTAGGGTTTCGGGTTTCGGGTTTATAAGGTTTAGGGCACCACATGAACCCTAAAAATGGGATCATATACTAAACCCTGTATGAGGCCTTCAAGTCAAGGGACTAAAGGAGGGACCCTTATAAGGGACCTTAAGGGGATAGTTATTTTGGGGCTACTTATATGTATATATATATATATATATATGAATATGTAGGGACCAGAAAAGGTATACACAGGGGTTGTATATGGGTTTTATCGGGGAATAAGATTACATAAGGGTCCCATTCGAGGGGTCCCTATCAAGGGTTCCTTTCGTCCCCAAGGAAGTTGTTGCCTCGCTGCCTCCAGCTTGGTGAGGGCCTTTGGATCCTTGAGCAGCTGCAGGCCGTTACGCTGAAAGAGCCTTAGTAGCTGAATGAGTACACTTTGTTGGGTTTAGGGTTTAGGGTTTAGGGTTTAGGGTTTAGGGTATAGGGTATAGGGTATAGGGTTGATACGATCATATTTTTGTAGAGCTGAAAGTGTACACCTTTTTTGGGGTGGTCTTTATGAACGCAGCAATGAAGGAGCTCCTTGACCGAGATCAGGATCTATGCAGCTCCTTCCTTGAGACAAGAGGCTTGGTATCCCAGTGGCACCCCTTTTGCCCTTTCTTCTACATCCCCCTTGGGAATTATGTTTTTGGTTTTATGTAAAAACCAAGAGGATATTTTAAAGAAATAGAATTGTTGTTTTGATTAAGGTTCTAAGGGGAGTATAGTCTTGGGTTCAAGAGACCCTTAGAACGTAAGCAACCCAAACCAGGGTACCCTTATTATCATGCAGTTGCGGGGCGACCTAGGAGGTGAGATGGGGAAGTATCAGATACGCTACATTGCAGACGGGATTTTTGAGCTTCGCACCAACGTGACCGCAGCGGAGCCGCAGACCAACCCGGACTCGGATGCCTGGTAGCCCGGTGGTGCCCTTTTCCCTTTTTATAGGTTCAAGTAGTAACCAACCCCAAAAAAGGGTGCCCTTATTGTAATATGGTTACTGGCCTACCAAGGATGATGACCTGGACTGCCCCACAGCCGTATCTGGGCAAGCTCTTAGAACGCTTGCCGCGCTTCTCTTTGTCGCGCGAAACGGAGAATCTCCACAAACCTCTTGCTTCAGTTTCAAAGCAGGGCAACAAAGGTGGTTTCAGTTTCAAAGAAGGCAACAGAGGTGGAGCGGAGCCTATCAGAGATGTTCGTGGCCATGAACGGCAATGAGACATTGGAGCTGACCAAGCGCGTGCTTGGCCTTCCCAGGCAAATGGCTCAGCAACTCGGTAGGCCCTCTGGACCTAAGCCCTAAACCCTAAACCCTAAACCCGAAACCCTAAACCCTAAACCCTAAACCTATACTTTCCTTTTTGAGGGTTTGAAGAGGAGATCCTGTTCAGGAATCATTTTCAGAGGGTTTTAAGGGCCATCCTAGGCAGCTGCCGAAGCTGTTTGCGGGTAGCTTGGAGATCGTGGGGGAGGAGTCTTCAGGGGTCTAAGGAGGGACCCCTAGAAGGTTTAGGGTTTAGGGTTCAGGGTTTAGGGTTTAGGGTTATTCCCCTACAAAAACCCTCATGTGTACCTTCTGTATTCCCTATATACCTAAGTAGCCCCCAAATAGCCCCTAATTTAAGCCCTGAGGGTCCCTTTTGAAGGGTCCGAATCCTTTAGTCCCTTGAGGAGTCGCCAGCTCTAGTAGCCATGGGCCTGGCCGGCTGGGAGGTCGAGGGCGGCCCGGCCCATTTAGACAGCGACTGTGACGCTTGGTGGCCCAGTGGTGCCCGTGTTTTTCCCTTTTTTTTGGCGGGGTTCAGGGGTTCCCTTCTACAGCAGCCAGCCGAAAAAAGGGTTTAGGGTTTAGGGTTTAGGGTTTAGGGTTTAGGGTTTAGGGTTTAGGGTTTAGGGTTTAGGGTTGACTGGGCTACCAAGGATCCGGACGAGGACCCCAGTCGCTGGCCTTTCTTCTGCTTCCGGCATCCAGAGCCGAAAATCCCGCTGGCGATCTTCCATTTGGATGGCTGGTTTGATCTGCCCGGGGGGGACGGAGGTTGCAAGGTGAGCCTGGGGTATGTGACTTAGCATTATAAGGGTTTGGGGTTTAGGGTTTAGGGTTTGGGGTTTAGGGTTTAGGGTTTGGGGTTTAGGGTTTAGGGTTTAGGGTTTAGGGTTTGGGGTTTAGGGTTTAGGGTTCAGGGTTCAGGGTTCTTGGTAGCCCACTGGTACCCTTTACCCTTTTCTTGGGCCCTGGGCTTCCTCATACAGTATCCAACCAAAAAAAGAGGGTGCCCTTATTGTAATATGGTTACTGGGCTACTAAGGTGAGCACCGACTTCGACTATGTCGTGGCGTCGCGGTATTTCTGCGAGTATCCCATACGTCGAAGGTTGGCGACCAGGGTGTCGGCAAGCTTCGAGGAAGCTGCAAACCTACTGAAGGTCGGGAGCGATGGCCTACTCAAGGTCTCTGAGGGGCCGTGGTCCCGTCTCAGCAGGGAAGGAACAGAGAAGGAGGAGATCTTTGCGAAGACTACCACGCCTGACGGTTGGGAGGTGGAGGTAACCTCGATGTATATCACGGATGATCGGTGCGTCATGGGTGCTCCGTACCTTAAAGCCGTCTACCGGGATGCCAGGCGGTTGTTGCGGCAGCACCCGAACTAGTCCCCAGAGTCACCGTCGTTGCTGTTGTCCCCCTGCAGTCGGCCACGCAGCGTAACCCAGAGGGTCCATCTGTAGAACCATTACGGAATTAGGTACCCAAAACCATACTAAATAGGGTTTTGGTCCTTAAACCCTATAGTTAAACCCTAAACCCTAAACCCTAAGCCCTTATGGGTAGCAGTGCAGAATTGCCTACGTGTGCAGTGTAGGGGGGTGCAGAGACGCGCAGAGCGCTCCGCACTCCCAGTTCCCCAGCCAAAGGCTTGAGATGGTCCGCGCTTTGGGAAGCACTCCTAGGTAGAATACGGGGGAACCTTAAAAGGGAACCCCTTCTGAACTCTCTTCTCTCTTAAACAGGGACCTTATTGAGAGGGTCTATATCCCCAAGGGTCCCCCCAATCCTATCCCCCAAGCACTCTGGGAGGTGCGAGGGCCTCGCTTGAAGAAGCTTGGGTTGCTTTGAGCTTATTTTGACGGGCTTTCCACATGTAGGAGTTCGTGCGTGGTAACTCAGCCGTCGTTCTAAAGGCTTTCTGACTTGGAACACACAGTAGCAGAGGAGGTTGACTTCGGGAGTATCTTTCCTCAGACCAATCGCGAGACTTTTTTCCACTGCGGCGTAGAGCAACACTTCGGCACGCTTTTCGGGGGTTTGGGTTTTAGGGTTTAGGGCTTAGGGCTTGAACCTTATGTAGGCCTTCACGCCCTGAAACCCGGAATCCGAACTAGCCGTACACCCTACTGGGAGGTTCAGGGTACTTATAACCCCCAACTATATAACCTGTCCTTGTAAGCCCCTCAGTCCCCTAAGGCCCCTAAGTAGGTTATAAGTGGACTTCTAGCTGGGCCCTAAGCCCTAAACCCTAAACCCTAAACCCTACACCCTAAACCCTAAACCCTAAACCCTAAACCCTACACCCTAAACCCTAAACCCTAAACCCTAAACCCTAAACCCTAAACCCTAAACCCTAGGGTTATAAGTACCCATGAACCTCCAAGCCCTCGTGGCCCAGGGGCAGGCCAGCGAAGGCTGGAAGCCATGCTGGGACAGCCAAGACCCAGACACCTGCCACTCGGTTTAGGGTTTATGGTTTAGGGTTTAGGGTTTAGGGTTTTGGGTTTAGGGTTTAGGGTTTAGGGTTTAGGGTTTTGGGTTGCCACTCGCACTTGCTGAAACTGCGCTTGGGTTTCCTGTGCAGGGGTCGGGGGGGGGGGGGGGGGGGGGGGGGGGGGGGGGGGGGGGGGGGGGGGGGGGTGGGGGGTGTGGGTGGGGGGGTGGGGGGGGGGTGGGGGTGGGATCCTTTCAAAACGCTCTAAACCCTTTTTAAAAAACACAAAAGAAGTCCTCTCGAAACGCTCTCAACCCTGCTAAAAAAAAAACGCTACAAACCCTAAACCCTGAACACTGAAACCTAGCAAACCCCTATAAACGCCTGAACCCCTGAACCCCTAAACCCCTAAATCCCTGGCACCCTAAACCCCCCAAACCCCTAAACCCCTAAACCCCTAAACCCCTGAACCCCTGAACCCCTAAACCCTAAACCCTGAACCCTACACCCCACCCTCCCATCCTTAAAACACCCTTGGGCCCCCACTCCTTTAGCCCAGACATGCCCTCGAACAAAAGGGTTTAGGTTTAGGGTTTAGGGTTTACGGTTTCGGGTTTCGGGTTTAGGGTTTTGTTTGGAGCCGAGGCCGCACACAAGGCGGCCACTGGCTGGGCCCTGAAGTGCCTTAGCCCGAACTCTTGGATTGATGTTTTGGGGTTTATTTAGGGTTTTTAGGGTTTAGGGCTTGGGGCTGAGTCCTAAACCCTAAACCCTAAACCCTTAAGACAGCAGTTCCTCTTCGGGGCTCGCAAGCCTCCATTTGCCCCGGCCTTTGGCATCTTGAGTTCGCAACACGCCTGGCCTCAGAAGCCGGACTTATGAGCCCAGAACAGGGTTTAGGGTTTAGGGTTTAGGGTTTCGGGTTTCGGGTTTCGGGTTTCGGGTTTAGGGTTTAGGGTTTAGGGTTTAGGGTTTAGGGTTTAGGGCCCAGTTGTACCCTTTTGCATTTTTTGTGGTTCTAGGTTCCCTGATAAAAGTAACCAATCCCAAAAATGCTACCCCTAGTGTTGTAATATGGTTCCTGGGCTACCAAGTTGATGTAGGTTATTGCTATAAAGCCCCTTGTAGGATCCCTAGGTAGCTTACAGAAAAGTAGGCTTGCAATTCTTGAAGTAAAGTCTATCTGTAGGGGTGTTCTGCGTAGCAAGTGCCCTGTCATATGCACCGTTTACACTATCCCTCTAAAGCTCCCTTCAAGCAGACCCCTAAACCCTAAACCCTAAACCCTAAACCCTAAACCCTAAACCCTAAACCCTAAACCCTAAACCCTAAACCCTAAACCCTAAACCCTAAACCCTAAACCCTAAACCCATACGTGCAGGTGCCAGCGGCCTGGAGTTTCGATCCTCCTTGCGCCTCATCCGCAGAATCCTGCCAGTGTCGGGTGTCGGGTCTTCATGGGCAAAAATGCAGGGTTTGGGGTTCAAAGGCTCCAGAACCCTGTAAATCCAATAAAGCCCTATGAACCCTCCTAAATCCTAAGCCCTAAACATCCTAAGCCCTTCCTTGTCAGACTTTGCCTGGGTTAGCAGAACTCTTTCTCAGTCCAAACAGCCACCCTCAGCATATGATAGCCGAAAGTTTTTGGTTATAGGGCCATTTGTGGTGTTGTTATAGGCTTCTTTTTGGGCAAGTTGTGGGATGTTAGAGGGTTCTGATAATGGGCTTCTTTGTTAGGATAATATACGGTCACTATGGGGATATTACCATTGGGTCATGTCAGCATTGCAGAGTTACTTTAATAGCGTTTATGTTAACTCCCTATGAAAAACCAAGGTTTAGGTTTTAGGGCCCTTGAATGTGACAAGGGCTGCTTGGTCAGCGGATCTTGTGACCTTCCTCCGCCTGCAAAGTCCTGGTTTTGCGTCTGGGGTTTGCAAGTGATCCCGATTACTATCCTACGAAAAAGTTAGGGGATGTTTGCTTATAGAATACCCACCGCTTTGTAGTCCTGCTGATAGCTAGGATGGGGCCGGATAAGCACTAAGTCCGAATCCCCGAAAGCCCCAAGACCCCAGACCCTACAGTTTGGAAGCTCTTTTGACTTGCGAAGTCTACTTCGTATCCCATAGAAACCCTATGAAACCCTATGATAATCCCCGTAACCCCCTTACGAACCCTGCTTACTTCGTCAAACGGGCTTCCAAGTAAACCCAATACTTGGAGGTTCATGTTGCTTACTAACCAATTATAACTGTACTTATAGCTGTAATCAGAACCATGTTAGGGCACTTGAGGGCTGACGTGTGAGTTATAAGTACAGTCATATGTGGCTAAACCCTAGACCCTAAAACCCAAACCCAATACCCTAAACCCTTAATTGGAACCCTAAACCCTAAACCCTAAACCCTAAACCCTAAACCCTAAACCCTAAACCCTAAACCCTAAACCCTAAACCCTAAACCCCTGATTGGTTAATAAGTATCATGAACCTCCAAGCACCAAGCCGGCCCGACCGTTTCAGGTTTCAGCCAGACCGGCTGCCTCCCGTGCCTGAGCTGAACCACCTGCGGGTTTAGGGTTTAGGGTTTAGGGTTCAGGGTTTAGGGTTTAGGGTTTAGGGTTTAGGGTTTAGGGTTTAGGGTTTAGGTTTTGGATTCCTAGTAGTTGCTTAAGAACCACCCAAAACCACATTCTTCCTCACAAGGGCAATGCAAGTGATTGCGCCACTGTAGGTTTAGGTGCCTCTAGCGTTCAGGGCATACCGGGCCTTAAACCCGAAACCCTAAACCCTAAACCCTAAACCCTAAACCCTAAACCCTAAACCCTACACCCGCTGGTTGAAGATAGATAGGGTTTAAGCTGGCTTGAGGACATCTATGTGCAAGGGACTAAAGGAGGGACCCTTTTCATGGACCTTGGGGGTTGTTTGGGGGGCTACACAGGTATAGAGGGACTACATAAGGTATATATAGGGGTTAATATGTAATGTAAGGAAACTTTTTGTTCTTCATGGTATGGGATGCTTTGGACGGGCGGTCTTCTTCCAACGCTCGATAATAAGCTGCTTGACTGGTGAATGCTTGGACTTGAGATGCTGAGCCCTAAGCCCTAAACCCCAAACCCTAAACCCTAGCTCCCTAAACTCTAGCTCCCTAAACCCTAAACCCTAAACCCTAGCCCTAAACCCTAAACCCTAAACCCTAGCTCCCTATCCTTGAAAGACCCTTGCGCGCCTCGACTTCTTCCGAGGTCCTTGCTGAATCTGGCGCCGCCAAAGAGCCACGTGGGCTGCGGAAGTGTGCTTCGGGGTTTAGGGTTTAGGGCGTAGGGGTTAGGGTTTATAGGGTTCAGGGTTTAGGGTTTGGGGTTTGGGGTTTGGGGTTTAGTGTCTAGGTTTTATGTCTTTAGGGTCTAGGGCTGAAGGGTGAAGCGTTTAGGGTTTAGAGTTTAGGGTTTAGGGTTTAGGGTTTAGGGTTGAATAGTTTAGGGTTCGGGTTTGGGGTTTGAGGGTTTACGGTTTGGGGGGTTTATAGGCTTATAACGGGGTTGTAGGGCTTGCAGGGTTAAGGACGTCTAGGGCCTATGGATGTTCATAGGGTGTTTAAGGTGTAGTGCTAGGGCTTGTCGGGTCGAGAGCTGAGGGCTTAGGGATTAGGGTTTAGGGTTTGGGGTTTAGGGCTTTTAAAGCTTAAGCGATTTTAGCCTGCAGCGGTTGAAGCGCGTTGTGTTTACAATGGTTGTAGCCTCGAGCACCTCTTCGCCCGAGAGACTTCACCCTAAACCCTAAACCCTGGACCCTAAATCCTAAACCCTCAGGACCTCGGCAGGAATCATGTCCTTTATTAGCGACATTAGACTAGCATTGGGACCTCATACACGATGCCCTATATTACCAAACCGTTAGGAAGGCCGAGGTTCATGTCGTCCACAAGGGTCACGCAAGCCAAA